CAGTACCCCTCCTTCTACTCTTTTATTTAATGAAATCAATTGTGTTAATATTTAGCTTTTTGATTGAATGAAAAAAAATTTTTTTTAATATTTGGTGTTAGTTTTCTTCCCCAAACTTAACATTCTCTTTTTTCTACCATTATGAAATATCTTAGACTTAAATGCAATATTTTATAAAACATAATGAAATAAGAGAAATACAACATATTACTTTTGTAAGGTATGCATAAATAATTGTTGGTGTACATCAAAAAGAAGACTTCAGTCCTCTGATTCATCTCTATGGAAAGATTTTATTTATTGCTAATGATGGTTATGACTAACTCTGAAACATATGAATTAAATCAACTTAATCCAGCCTGCCAGTTAAATTTCTTTCTAACTCTAAATATAAATACTAGTGTCTGGAAGGAAAAAAGAACACTAGAGACAAACATTGTCTAAGGCCTCTTTCAAATGATTCTGAGAAATACGTGCCAAAAAAGTTCTAAAAGATTCTTCCATCATGTGGGAGAATAAGAAAATGTTATTTATATATTCTGAGTTTATAATCATCATGGATCTAAAATTTGGCTCAGAATCCAGGTCAGTGTAAGAAGTAATGACTTAAGAACATCAAAAAATACAGGTGCAGCTACAATTCAATTACACATTTCCCCTTTCTGTAGGGTGTGTCTTTGTTCCCACAGCTGGGAGAGGTGTACTTTAAATTTTCAACAAAGGAAACCACCACATTAAAGAACTCCCGAAATTCCTATAACCAAAACTGTAGCAATAACCACGCAATGTTCAATCGCCTTTTATAAAGATGCTATGTGCTTTAATCTCCCGTTCATCTGCACTCAACACGTTTGGCCAAGTGCATTAACAATAGAAAAGAAAATGATCATTTGAATACAAAGCTTAGGAAAGAAGAATCACATTAAAGTATCGAATAACCAGCCTCTTGGAAGAATTTATTTTCATTTTTGAAAAATGGAATTTAAAATAATATCAAGTACTCTGTTTATAGTCTAAGTTTTTATTTCAATGATCCAATTTTAGTTTTGTCTAAATAAAACAAAACAGTTATGATCTAAATAAAAATAATGATTTTCCTCTTAAACTGCTGATTTTCAATCTATTCCTTTTCCTCGGTGTATAAATGTGCTTTTTACCTCTAGCGTTTTATCAGTTCCCCAGTCATAATTTATATAAAACACACAGATGGTCTTAGAAATAGTAAGAGTTTCAGATGTGACAACTTCCTAGCATATGGAACGCTATTGTGGATCATCACTTTGGCAGCATGTAAATAATTTAAGTGTTATTTATATATTAACATACCCTGGCATAATTTCATAGTCATAGGTTTTTACAACTTGAAGTTGTTTGATTCCTGATTGGAGTTGGTCTCTTTATTGACCAGAACCTGTTGTGGTGGAAGACTGGTAGTCTTTAATCAGAGGATAGCATCCCTCTACATAGCACAAGTAAATGAAGACTCAGAATAAATTAAACATTTTGGCAGAAACTTCGAAATTTCTTTTAATTCAATACAGGACACAGAAGGGAATTCCAAGAATTTTTAAAACATCGAATTTACTACAGTGATTTTTAAACTGTGAATGTCATAAAAAATAACAAACACACACATATACATAATACACAGGCACATGCATAACACATAATCTTTAAAATAAATTAAGATCTTGTGAAATGCAGGACTAATAACACCTGTGTTTTTTTATCTGCCACATGTGGTACAACATTAAGAGTTGTCTACGCCCTGTTTCTAATTTCCGTCTTTCTAGCCTCTACTGAACCTGTTCAGTGATCGACCACCAACCTGCTAAATCCAGACGTCAATTCCCAGTTCCTTGTAATTTAATCTGCCAGCTGCAACTGAGTCAGTCACTGCCACCTCCTTAAAATCCTGGCTTGACGTGGCCGCCCTTCTGGCCTCCTCCTTTCTCTCTGATCTCTCCTTCTCGGTTTCCACTGCTCTTTCTGGCTGTTCTCCCCAGGAGCTAAGCATTGCTCTTCACTTCCTTTCTACCTATAATCGTTCCCATGGTGACTTCTGTATCCTGTTTTCAAATAACATGGACACATGGCTCCCGTATTCTTCACGATAAGCTATATTATGCTATGGTAAGATACACCCCATGACTTAATGCAACAAAGAGTTGTTTCTCAGTTTGCACATTTCTGTTATGGAAAGACAGAGGTGTGGGGTAGAAAGTTCTGCTTGAGCTGTCAGGGGGTTCTCCATATTTCAGCTGCACTGCCTAGAATACAGGGCTTGCTTGTTTGCACAGTGGTAACAAAAGAGTACTAGATGCTTACTCCCATGCTGGTATTTAATTTCTTTAATTTCCATGCACAAGCCGTGAAGCTGAAGCAGTCAAACAAGTCTGCCCAACCTCAAGGCAGCTGGGAAGCAGAGACTTCCATCTACCGCAAAGGAGGAAAGGACTGGACAATAATGAGGACTTGTACGTCTACCACAACCTACTCTATTATCTAACCTCAGCCTCAGTTCTGAATTTCATATACCCAACTGCCTATTTGTCATTTACTCTTAGATATCTAATAAGCATTTCAAAATTACCACGTCTAAAACTGAGTTCCTGATACATCCCACCCCAAATAGTCTCCAACAGAGTCTCAGTTAATGTCATCTCTACCTTTTCAGCTGCTCAGGCCAATCAATAAGCATCATCCTTGACTCTCCCTTTTCCTCGCCAGCCACATCCAACCTGTTGTCAAATTCTGTAGGCGACTGCATTACAGTGTATACAGAAGCTACCCACTCGTCACTGCCTCCTATCCTAACAGACTGGTTCAAACTATCAATTGTCTCTTGTCTGGATTGTTGCAAAGGTTCCAAACTGGTCTCCCTACCTCTGCTGAGAAGCCCCTGAAGGTCTTCACCTTACTGAGAAGAAGAGCCGAACTATTTACACCATTCAAAAGATTCTGCAGAGCCTGGCTACCTGGTACCCCCACCTTGTGACATTGTCTCTTACAAATCTGTCCTTCATGTACTCTGTTCAACCCACTTTGACTCTTTGTTGTTTGGCTGAATGTGTTAGAACTTGATGTCTTTGAGTTTCCTGTATTGTGTGCCTAGGGTACTCTTTTCCCAGATTTTTTTTTTTTTTTTTTTTTTTTGAAGACAGAATCTCATTATGTCACCCTCGGTAGAGTGCCGTGGCATCACAACTAACAGCAACCTCAAACTCTTGGGCTTAAGTGATTCTCTTGCCTCAGCCTCCCAAGTAGCTAGGACTACAGGTGCCTGCCATAACTCAGCTTTTTTTTTGGTGTTGTTTGGCAGGCCCGGGCTGGATTTGAACCTGCCAGTTCTGGGGTATGTGGCTGGCGCCCTAGCCACTGTGCTACAGGTGCCGAGCCCTTTTCCCAGATTTTTTAGTTCCCTCCCTCAGTTTTTCATGTCTTTATGCAAGCCATTCTCTGGCCAGCCTATTTGAAATTTCAACTCCACCTGAGTGCTAATGAATCCCTCTACCCCTTCACTATTTGTATAGGACTTCTTATAGTTTAACATAGTCTACATTATACTAATTTATATGTGAGTTACTGAAGGACACCCACTAAGTGTTGTTTAAGCTGCATTACCAGTGCTAAGAATGTTGTCATTAATTTGTATTAAACACGAATAAGTAGTCAGGAAAGAGGCATGAGAGGAGTCAGTGATATAATGGTTTTAAAATGTTTGAATCATTAAGGTAGGGAAATGGGATTACAGATAATGGTCTTTAAATCATCTAGAACATATTTTTAAGAGGAAAAAAATTTTTTTTACTTAATCGTGCATAAATTCAAAAGGAATCTATTATCACTAACAAGAGAAATGTTTGTTCTTTATTGTCTAGTCCCCTGTGCTTTCAGCGCTGTTTCCTGAAAGCGCTGTCTCCACATACAGTCCACGTTGCCATGTGATTTTTCATCACCGTTTAATAACAGAACGGTCACTCTCGCCCACTGAAAGACTCATTCTAACTGAGATCAGTACAGGGAAAAAGCTTGATTTTCTTTCAAAGTCCCTAAAAGTTTGTCTTCTACAGCCTTCTCCACTTTTCTCTCTCTCGGTCATCATGCTAATCTGCTAACTGGTTGCTCCGTAAGAGTGCAAATACTTATTAGCTTTATATGGTCTGTGTTACAACTTTGTTCTGCACCTTTAGCAGTGACCTTTTCTACACACAAACTTATCTCAGGGAATTTAAATCTTGGCCAATGAATTCACAATGGACAGATACCAGTAGGTGCTGAACCAAGAAAATGATAACAGGGAATGTTGAACAGTAAAAGAACCAATGAGAACTTCATGATTGCGATCCATTAGTAACACCCTACAAGACAGAATAAGCTAAAGACGTCACATAGACTCACTACTGTCAAGAAGAAAATGCACAGATCACACAATTCTCTCCTGTCAGAGCAGGAATGTGCAATCCAATAATCTAATCACACAAACTGTATTCTTAAATGAGATGAATTCATCACTAACCATCACTTAGGATGAGTTTTTATTTCTCAGAAATAATATGGGACTCTATGGAACAGAAAAGGCATTTAAACACAGGGGAAAAAATATTTAAAAAATTCTGAATTAGTTTAAGAGGCCTTCTGGAAACATGCTGTATAACTGATTTTTTGAAACAAATAATTTTTATTGTAACACATGGGAATTTTATAAGCTTAGTTATTACAATAATAAAGTCATACATAACTGTGTTAACTCTAAGGCATTCAAAAGGAAATCCTAACTTTTCTTTTATTGAACTCTAAACACCACGCATGTTCCTCACTTATTTTCATGTTAACAGAGGGAGAACTGAAGTTTATCTATTTTACAAGAAGGAGTGAAAAAAAAAAGGAACAAATACAAGCCTTACTTAGAAGAAACTTCTTCACATTTCTCTTTTTTCTTTGGTGAGGATGTGGAGTAAGGCATACAAATGCTCCCTGCTGCTGAATGAAATACTCACAGTTATTCTTTCATCTTTATCATCCAGGGGAGATCCGTCTTTCTTCCACGAGATGGTGGGCTCAGGGTGGCCCCTCGGAGGCTGGCATTCCATTACCGCGGGCTCCCCGACTGCCACCATGACATCGGAAGGATTTTGTCTGAAGTCGTCCCGTAGGACTGTAAGAACAAGATGAAATCATTATACTCAATAGTAACAAATACAGTTCTTAGCTCTGAATTTCAGCAAAGACACATTTATCATCATGAACTGCTTCTAATAGCTACCACCATACAGTTTTAAGAATCTGTATCTACTTAGAGACACCTGCAGTTTGATAAGGTATTTGGCGTTAAGCGTGCACGGGAGGGATAATTTGATATTCTTCATAAAGCACCAGGCAAGTGTATTCTGCTGCTTAGTGCCCTCAGAGTCAGCATTTGGCTAATCTGTAACGTGCATTTCTTTTCTGCCTTTTTGCTACATTTTTCTTATCCATCTGCTAATGATTATAATTGAATCTTCTTTATATCCAAATGCCACTTCGGGATAATGCTTTCTGTAATTTTACATACATGAGCAAACAAACATACTAAAAGAAAAAATGAAGATGCTTCCCTATATGCATTTAATTGAGATATTTTATAGATATTTACAATTAATGGACAAGATTATATAACCAAGATAATTTAACTATGTTCATCATAAAAACTTCAGACATATCTAAAGAACTACATTCAAATTCATTGTGTTTTTTCCATTATCACTGAGACTGTTAGGGGGCACCAATATTATGATCAGAACTACTACCAAGAGCATTGACTTTTTTAAATTTTTTCTATTTTCTGAAATAAATAATATTCTGGTATTACAGAGGTATACACATTTTGGTTACATGTCAACTTTAAATGTACAAGTGTAACAGCATGGAGTTTGATGTTCCAAGTAGTTGGGAGGAGTTGGTATATATTATCTTATTTAATCTTTAAATGTACTCAAAATGAGAGATTACTAAGCCATTTATACTATTAACACTGTATTTTAGAGGAGAAACCCATTCATTATCATAATATCAATGTGATACTAATATAATGTTACCATATTGTAAAACAAGCAGCATTCCTACATTGGAACCATTGGAATAAAATATGAGAAATAATCCAATTACATATGCAAAAATAGTTCATGCAGTAAAATTGTCCTCACTATCCTGATAACATCAAAAAATCGTGAATAATTTGGCATCCATTGGTCTTAAATCACAACTCTGCTGTTTATTACACGTGTAATCTTGAAAATATTATGTAATACGTTTGCTTCCTTATTTACAAAACAACAATGGAGACTACATCCTTCAGTACAAAGTCCAATAAATAGTTACCTTTCCTCCACCCCATTTCTCTAGATCCAGTATGTAATAAAACGTGAACCATTTTAGTAACCTGATTTAAGATACTACTTAACATTTTTATTGTTATTGTTGTATGTTAAACATGCTGACTTGGAGCGATACATATTATTTGTCTTTTAAAATTGGTTGATTTTAACAGTCGATAGTATAATTTTGGACGTGGATGAATGTCTTTCCATTCAAATGGCATTAAAAATGCTTTCATGGATGAAGTTCTACGATGTAAAAAAACATATGCTCAGAACGTTATTTCAAAAATCGCTCTTTCAATTTTGGGTTCAAAACCTTACACACGTTTATAGCCTTATAAAAACCTTTATTTTTCTCTTGCTGTTCTTTCCTTTTTCTCCCTCAATACCAACTAAGGAGGTACATACATCTAGTAAGGTATAAGGTCTGCCCAAATAAAACCTACTTTTTAAATCCCCCTATTAAGATAACTTGGACACAGTGTGATGATGTTAACACTTGCAAAATATTGCTTCAGATAGGATATGGTGTTCTTATCTTTGCAAAAACACAGTAAAAAGAAAAAAAAAACAAAAGGAAAAAAAAACAAAGGAAATCTTATTACATCAAACTGTTATAATTCTAACTATTCACTATTAATAAAGTATATAGACACTGAAAACTCCAGCTACTGTTACCACATAATAAAAGAACAGAGTAAGAGGACTTTCACTATTTATAAACTTGTGTCATTATTAGGTGTTAAGAATGTACCACGAATAAAATGTAAGGCTTATAGAAAAAGCAAATGAAAGGACCTTAACCAGCAGCATGTGCCTTCGCTGGATCACATTATTAATCTACGACAACACATCTGAAAAGTTTTAACACCTTTGAAACCCCCACAAGTAAAAATAACGTCTCAAATAAAAATAAATAATTTGAACAGTTTTTCTATACGGTGACCTTAAAACCAAATTGGTAATACTATATCTTATTTATAAACTGAGATCATGTCTCCAACAAACCCATGAATAATAAAATGTCTTGCAAAAATATCAAAGGTCTATGTCAGATAACTCAAGTTTTTTCCCCCACTTATTATGTTATTTGGCCTCATACAGTAGACTAGGAAAAGCTAACAAAATGTCACCCATTAAAAATGGTTGCTTAGATAATGCTCATGTAGTTATTTTTGCAGCTGTAAAGCGTAAAACTCTGGTGCTGCCAATGGCTTTGGGTAATTCTGCATAAAGTTATGAATTTAAGATTTTATTCTCCCTTCTAGAAAAGTAGTTTTTTCTTTCTTATACCTGTCCCAAACATTTCCCTTTGAGGAAAAATAGTGTGTCACACTATAAAATGGTATTAACTTCTAGTTAAATTATTTAGTTTTCTTAATTCATGTGTATATTTAAGCCTTTACAATAAAGATCAAATTCAGAGGATTGGTGGCATCCATAAGTAATCTCAAATACAGATCTTTTTTTGTTTGTTTGTTTTATTTTTATTTTTATTTTTTTTTGGAAAGACAGAGTCTCACTTTATCGCCCTTGGTAGAGTGCCATGATGTCACACAGCTCACAGCAACCTCCAACTCCTGGGCTTGGGTGATTCTCTTACCTCAGCCTCCTAAGTAGCTGGGACTACAGGCACCTGTTACAACGCCCAGCTATTGTTTTTGTTGCAGTTTGGCTGGGGCTGGGTTCGAACCCGCCACCATCGGTGTATGGGGCCTTCGCCCTACCCACTGAGCTATAAGTGCCCCACCCATACAGATCTTTTTAAAACATCTCCTTTTCTCTTCTAATAAGTCTATGAATCAAGGTGTATATTTCTAAATGATTCTTCATTTAAACAGTGCAAAATTTTAAAATCTGGAACTAAATTTTCATAGGGATTTAGTATTAATTTCAAAAGAACCAGCTGCATATATAGGGTATCAAAGCAGATATCACTTAAAAGGGTATTAAACCACAGTTCACTGTCACATTATAACAATATCAGATTTCTCCCATATTTACGTAGCTTTATTTTACATGTACAAGTAGATTCATATAATTTGATTCAATAGCTTTTTGGGGTTTTTAACTCTGTTAATTTATAGAAAATATAAAATTCACTGACTTATTTAAATCTTGCCAGTTTTTTGTCTTTTAAAAATGGCTAACTAAAATTCATCTTTTAAAGAAAAACAAAGCATATAATCTTTTATTTTTCTGAAAATCTTTATATCAACTTTAATACAATTCTCAAATAAGTAAACATGTTTTCAGAAAAGAATTCTAAAATTCGGGTGTGTCTTTGCAACTTATCCAGGCAATGTTAAGATGCGACAAGCCAGCCATGGTGGTTCATGCATGTAATCCTAGCACAAAGCAGAGCTGGGGCAGGAGAATCCCTCAAGACCAGCAGTACAAGACCATTCTGGGCAACACTGAGATGCTATCTTTATAAAAAATTTAAGCAATAGCTGGGAATGGTATTTGCACAACTAAAGTTCCAGCTACTTTGGGAGGCTGAAGAAGAAAAATTATTTGAGCCCAGGAGCTTTAGGTTGCAGTGAGCTAAGATAATAGCACTGCACACTAGCCTGGACAGCAGAGTGAGACCCTGTCTCAAATTCAAAAAGGGGGGAGGTTAAAGGAGAAAAAGAATATTAAACTGTTCTGAGTATTATGGAGGCTGTGATATTTATAAAACATTATATGAAAGTATTGTAGGAAATCTGAAAACTGAGAGATAACACTGCAGAACCAGCAGAGGTCTTTGACATCATCTAATCTAGCCCACAAAGTGAAGCAAGTGAGTCCCACGAAATTTTGCCACTATTGATCAGAAAGAAACCAGAAGAACTCACTGTAATCTCAAACTCCTGGGCTCAAGCAATCTACCTGCCTCAGACTCCAGAATAGATGGGACTCCAGGTAGGCACTATCATGCCTGGCTTATCCCCCCTTCCCCTCCCCCTCCCATCCCCCTCCTTCCCCTTTTCCTTCTTCTCCTTCCTCCCTCCCTCTCCCTCTCTCTCTCTCCCTCCCTCCCTCTCCCCCCCTTCCCTCCCTCCCTCCCTAACTCTTGGCCTCAAACACTCCTCCAGGCTCAGCTTCCCAAAGTGTTACAAGCATGTGCCACTGTACTTGGTTGATCTCCTTTTCTTCCCCTTTTAAATCATGTCATTATCGTACTGCAAAATGCATTTGCTCTATTTAATTCACTGTGTTTTCTACGAATTCACCTTATGACTGCCACAGGCATGACTTAGGGCATTGAGCATCCCTGCACTGTAGCCTTCTGACTATCCACTCTTGGTGAGCTCAAGTGCATCTTAAGTCAATTTTGTTCCCTAATCATGAGATGAACATCTATGAAGCTTAGCTTCATGACTCTGAGATTCTCAGTGCAGTTAGGGGTCTCACAGAAGTGTAATGCAAACTTTCTGCTTTAGATATTAATAAATTAAGGCTCTTTGGGGGAGAGGACATATCACATAAATAATAATTATAATGGTAATAATATTTGCAATATAATTATAGAGTTAGCAATGGCTAATGCTTATTGAACATTTACTCCATAAACGTAAGGATTAAACAGAGGTCCTTAACTTTTTAAAGGTTCCTCAGACTGTTGGAGGGCAGGACTGCGGGTCCTGGGATGAGTCGGCTGCTAAGCAGGACAGGCAGTGGTGGCAAAAACACCCAGAGGGCCAGATAAATGTCCTAGGCGGGCTGCATGTGGCCTGTGGGCCGTTGTTTGAGGACGCCTGATTTAGTAACCGAGCTAGAACACAGATCTCTAGTCCGTAAAGGAGTCTTTCCT